TTGAGTTTAACTGAAACATGGCTCAATAAAAACTTACCTGTGTCCATAGTAGATGTTCCGGGTTATAACTTTTTCAGGAAAGATAGAATGGGTTCTAAAGGTGGGGGAGTTTTAATATTTGTGAAGGACAGTATTCAGTGTCAGGAGATGTCATGGTCAAACAGTGAACAGTTGGAATGTATTTGCCTAAATGTTACTCTTTCCTCAAATATGTCATTCTCTTTGATTGCACTATATCGCCCCCCTACCTCTAAAAATTCTTTCTAATTTCAACAAAGAGGTGATAATCATGGGAGACTTTAATATAGATTGGGACAAGAAATCATTAAGGAAAAAGCTAAAACAGATTGCCAATGTTTTTGATCTCACTCAGTTAGTAAGTGGACCCACAAGAATAACAAATTCATCCTAAACTCAAATTGATTTAATATTTAGTAATAAACCAGATAGGATCATCAAAACCTTCAACATGCTCACTGGTTTATCAGACCACAATATGACTCTCATAGCCAGGAAGCTAAGTAAAAAACATTTTACTCTAGTTCAAGAGGAGGCATCTGTCAATATCCCTAAAAATAGATGTGAGAGTTTTAAAAGAACGGTTCAGGGCATTAACTGGGACGATGTGTTGACAGGGAAAAATTTAGAAGAAGACTGAAAACGATTTTCTTGTACATTACAGAGCACTATTGAAGAATTTACATCCATAAAAATACATAGAAAGAAAAAGCATACTGTTCCATGGATTAACTCCAGCATTTTATAAATCCTATGAAAGTAAGGGACCTTGCCTTAAAAACTGCCCTTAAAACCAAGCTAAGTCATGACAGACACAACTACGCTACACTACGGAACAGAGTCATTAAAGAACTTAGAAAAGCAAAGGCAAACTTCTTTTTAACTACAATTAATAACGCAGGGGGGAATGCAAAAATAATTTGGAGCCATTTGAAAAAACGAATAGGATAAAATTATAATGAAATAAAAACATTTGAGCTTGCTGTAGAGGGCAAGACAATAAACAATCCAGTTGACGTAGCTGATGCTCTTAATAACTATTTTGTTGATTCAGTTGCCACAATTGTAGAGTCCTTCACCCCTGAGCACAAGGGTAATATCCCACAAGTTATACCAACTGGACCAGTTTTTAATATCAAAACTATAAATGAAGCAGATGTCATGAAAGTGGTGGGGGCTCTCAAGTCATCAAGAGCTAAGGACGTCATTGGCATGACCTCTGTTATGCTCAAAGACCTATCAACACCCCTGCTCTGTCCCATCACAAAATTAGTTAACCTTTCAATTACAAAAGGAGTCTTCCCAAGTGTTTGGAAATTGGCTGCTGTCTCTCCAATCTTTAAAGGTGGAGATCACCTCTCTGCCTGTAACTACAGGCCCATTAGCATCCTTCCTGTTGTATTCAAGGTCACTGAAAAACTTATAGCAGAACAAATGATTGCATTTTTAAACACACGCCCCTCTCCACTGATTCCTATGCAATTTGGCTTTCGTGCTAACCACTCAACTGAAACAGCAAACTGTTTTTTCACAGAAAAATTAAGATCTCTATTAAACAAAGGAGGAGTTGTTGGAGCCATTTTTTTAGATTTAAAAAAGGCATTTGACACCATTAATCATAGTGTTCTTGTGTATAAATTGTCTACTTTTAACTTCTCAACACATGCAATTAACTGGGTTGGTTCCTGTCATGTCCAGGGTTAACGTGCCTCACGTCAGTATGGTTGAAACGTATTATGGGAGGAAGGAAAGGAACAATAAAGAAAAGTGAAGCGTTCTGAGTGACAGTTCGAGAGCGTTTGTGCGTGGTTATTAAACCGGATAAAAGTCTGAAGATATCTCTCAGTGCGGAGCTGAGTAGATATATAACAGTTCCTATCCAGCAAATCGATCACAGTTTGTTAGAGTTAGGAGTCATCAATCAAAACCCATTGGTATGCCTACTGGTGTTCCGCAGGGATCCATACTGGGTCCACTTTTATTCACCCTGTATGTTAATGATCTGCCAACAGTTTGTCCTGATGTTAATATTCAAATGTATGCAGATGATACTGTGATTTTCATCCATGGTAGTAGTGCAGCACAAGTCGCAGATCAGTTAAAGTCAATGCAACATATCACAACATGGTTAAAATAAAACTGTCTACAACTGAATGTGTCTAAAACAGTATGCATGTTTTTTTAAAAGTCAAATAAACACTTTACTGAGCCAGATGAATATGTAGCTGGAGAAAGACTGCAGGTAGTGTCAGAATTTAAATATCGTGCTGTTCTGATTGATAGTAATCTTTTGTTTAAAGCCCAAATTAAAAAGGTCTGTGAGCGAGTTAAATTCAATTTGGTAAACTTTAGATTCATACGAAACTGTTTGTCAAAAAAGGCTGCAATCATGTACATGCATTCAATGATCTTCTCTCACATTACATATTGCTTAACAACTTGGTCTCAGGCCAGTACAACTTCTCAAACCTTATGAAATACACAAACTTATGTCTAACATATAAGATTATCAATGGACATGCTCCTTCAGTTTTAAGACAATTCATAAAAACAGGTTCATCTACAAATATATCTACAAGAAGTACAATTAGAGGTGGCTGTATAATTCAGATGAGAAAAAGCAGTTTTGGCCAATCTGCGTTTTCCATTAGAGCTGCACCTGAGTGGAACATGATACCATCCCACATCAGAGACATAAAAACATACCACACATTCAAACACAATTTTAAAAAATGGTTAATTAGCCTCCAAACATGTCAACATCACACTGCCCAGCACCTCTAGTTAGTTGTATCTGGGTGCTGCTTTATTTATATCACTACTGCCATCAGCCATGTTCTGTCTTTCTCTTTTTTATGTATTTATTATTATTCTTTTCTTCCTGTATTTACTGACCCTTCTCTTTTTGTATGTTTTATGTGTCTTTTTATTTACTTCTTTTATTATGATCTATGTATACTTTATGTATCTTTTTTTTTATTATGCATTTGACCTGTTACCATCGGTCCATGGACAGATGTAAAATAGCCATTTTGGCTAATTCTGGCACATTTACATTCTATGTTTATTAATGTGCACTGTACATGTCAAATAAACCATAAATAAATAAATGTTTTATCAAATTCCTGGTTCTTAAAAATTTAGAATCATTTCTAATAGAGCTGTGGAATTAAATTTGAATCGTGATTACAATTATGGCTTCCCACAATTATGAAAATAATTATAATAGAGAAAAACGATCTTCGTTTCTATCTCGTATTGAAATAATTCCCTAATTTATCTTGCACAATAAATCCAGATCAGTGCATTCAGTGGTGCACTTTGCCCCTCCGTAAATGCTGTTAGTGAATTCCTTACAGCACAGCAGTCAAAATGTGTTCAAAGGACAGGTACCTTTGGTCAACAAGAGATAAACACACATCAGATATTTGGCATCCTTTTGGTCTCAATGAATCGGAGCAAGAACAACAGCAAATAATTTGCAGAATATGTTTCAAAGCTGTGTCTGCATCACAAGGCAACATGACCAATTTATTTAACCACTTAAAGCTTAATCAAAAAGTGGTCTATGATAAAACAATACGTGAACAATAAAATGAATTGTGAGGCAAGCTATTTAACTCATACTGCAATGCAGTTATCTGTTAAGGACACCGTCTAAAATGCAACCGTGTATCTGTGAAGTTTTCAAAAACACAGAGATATAATGGGTGCCATCACATATTTAGCAAAAGAGAAGGTCTTCAACACAGCTGGAAATATTGTCTCCTGCCATCGTGCATCACTGAAGCTAGATCATGTAAATAGACTAGTTTTTCTTGTTAATAATCTTTAAGTTTCACTTTTTATATCAGTGGACTGAGCAGTTGACTCTAATACTGTATGTATAGTTAGGGTAAACAAATTAAGTTTAGTGTTTTTGAACCTCAGAGAACAGTTAATCTCAGTATAATTTGTCTATTCATTTAAAAAATATATTTGTACAAATTCAGCATATGTTATCTTATTAAAATTTTATTTTGGGTTCAATTCAATTTCAATGTAAGTGTATAAGTTTCATTATCATGATTCAATAAATACGATGTTTCTGCAGTCAAGAGTAATTGTGGTAAATAATCGTGGTAAATAATCATGATCTCAATATCGGTCAAAAATAATCGTGATTATGATTTAGCTATAATCGAGCAGCTCTCATTTTTCTAATTTGGAACCGCTTTGGAACCAAACCCTACACCCCAATTCTCCCCCCCCTCCTGGTGTTTCATGTGATATACAATTATGGTTTAAAAAAACAAAAACAAAAGGCAAGTCACGCTGGTGCACCTATTTGTGAAATTTAGTTTCACTGTCTCTAAAAATAGTTGCAAAATGTGACTAAATGCTCGTAGCCTGGAGGCCTGCTATATGAATGAATTAAAAGCAAAAATATAGTCACTGCTGTCACGCTGACAAGACTGTGTTGAGTAAAAAACAATGGAAGGCTAGCCAGCATCTCTTTCAACGTTATACGTTTCCTACAAATAAGTCAGCCAGCGAGGACACATAGCCTATGTTCCTTCATTGGAACTTAAAGTGAACTGCCACCACCCTGAGTAATACGAAGTAATGTGAATTTTCATACTTGGGGTTTTATTACTTAGTCATAGTAATTCAGTTACCACCAGCTGTGAGACTATATTTTGGTTCCAAGATTGAAGAAATTTTATTTGTCATATGCATAGTTATACACATACAGCATGCAGTGAAATGTAACCCTGCATCACTCCTGAGTGCATTGGTTTATTAAATAAAAATAGATAATTAAAAACTAAAATGTTGAAAGTACGTACATATATCCATCACCATTACCTTCATGCTGAGGTAGTAAGTACGGTGTATTTCAAAGTGCAGGAGGAGATTTCAATGACTCACAGGAGAGCTGATTACATGGTTTCATGACGTGGATAGAGCTCATATTATAGGCAAGCAAAGGGAACACAAACCTGCTGAAGCAAGCAGAGCGTGGTAGTCTGCTCCCCGCTGCGTGGGCTGCTCCTCGCTCCGCTCACTCTCCTCTGCAGCCTCATAACGGCTCCAGTTGGACTCCAGCTTTCTCTTGGAGAAAACTGCAGCAGCTTCATCTTCAACATCTTCCAGGTTGTTAGCATCATCTTGGATCTTCTGAATGATCAACAAAAGAAAACTGATGAGTTCCTTGCTGTCACCTGTGCATATATCCGAGTAGACCAGTAGACAAGCATCCTTCTTTTAATTAAAAACAAAATTAATGTCGTGATTTTAAATAAAATCTAGTAAATGAAAGTAAAAAAACATGTAAAGCATTTAAGCATATACCTCTGTCCAGATCACAAATGTATATGGGAAAGTTATTCCCAAAAGACTGCGTACGAATAAAAATTAATGACGATGTTTAAAACGATGCTTATTCCTCTTGCCTTACTGTTTTGACTGACCGTGGGACAGTGGTAGGTTAACCTGGCTTAGTAGTCAGATAACTGGTTGGGGACAATCTATAATGAACACATGACACGTTTAGGATATCCCAGGGTTGCCAACTCTCACGCATCTGGCGTAATACTCACGCTCACCTAAGAAATCTTACGGCAAATCTATATTATTCCATTATAAACCTGAAAGCAGCTACATTAGAAGCGGTGGGTAGATTCCTAGTCCTACAGAAAATTTACAAGGTAATAAAACGATTACATACATGTGTGTGCAGTACTGTCTCGAACTGAAAATCTCACTCCAGCCAGAGTAGGAAACCCTGTTATCGTTTTCCAGTTTTTAATCAGGGATTTTTACTCATGTTGACATGGGAAAGACGTTCCCAGTATCTCAAAACTAACCGAATCACAAGGTTTAGATAAAAAAAAAAATCTTTAGGCGGCCACCCCTGTTTAATCTTAAGGCATAAATATTGTTAGCTAGTCAAGCAATATCTGTCTCTCCGTTTTACCGGCTCCGCCTCCGGTACACGCCGCCCCCTGCCCCGATGCTGGTCTCTTCTCTCCCTTCCTCGGTGGCTTCCCCTTCCTCGTCCTCTGTACTCCCCCGGCATCACCTTTTCAACCCCTCCATCACCACCTCTCCTTCTATTACTATCTCCTCGCCCTCGCCTTGGTCGCGCCTCCATTCATCCACAGTATAATGTGGCTGTTTACTTCAGCGTGGCAGATACAGCAGCACGACTTCCGTCATTCTTACTTACTGAATAAGTTTTGCAGCTTCATTACACAGCGCCACCTAATGAGGCGGACCACAAAGAAGTGACTACCGAAATTTAGAGCAGTGGGCGAGTTTTATCCGGATTAAAGTCCGGCTTCTGCCAGTTCAATTCCCGTGATATCGTCAATATGTTACCAATGATGTGTTCAAGACCCCAGTAATAGTAAATTACAACTCTAACAATAAACACTACCAGCAATGTCCAAAACTGTCCAGTGTAACAGGGGCAGTTGATGATGGATGAGTGAAAGAAATACCTTGTGAACAGCTCTCAGAAATGAACGTACCAGTTCCTGATGTGGCGTTAGGTGACTGGGGGCAGGGCTGTAGCCAGGGTTTGAAAAACAGTGAGGTCTGGGACCTTGTGTCAATCACACAAGAGGCTTGTTTTCTGGGGGATAGGCAGTGTTAAATGAGAATTCATATAATTTAATTGACAGTTTAGGATACAGCAAGTTATGTGGATCTTTTATATGAATGTGCCTTACTGAATGAATTTAGGTCTACATCATAAGAACATTACAGAGCAGTAAAATATTATGGATATGAAGCATGTATTTTAATGTTGTTTGTAACCATATATAAAGAGGTAAGGAGCATGTGCTGATTACAGTGTGTTGCTGCACCCACCACCTCTGGGAAGAGAACCTGAGTGCAGCCATGTGGTGGATGATACCTGAGCCCCACACTAATCCAAATAGAAGTGTCAGTTTTTTCCCAGTGGCTGGAGAGACAACACTCCACCCATAAAGGTAGAAATTAAAGAGAAATGCTTGACTTTAACACACCATTACAAGCTAACATTGTTAAAAGTTTCTTCCAGTATTTTAACTCTAAAAGAGCTCTAAAAGCTGAAATTACTAATCTGCAGGA